AAAACCTCCCACAGAACTTTAAATCCATTATATTTTCTGATAGAGATATCTGACAATACAACAAAAAGGAAAAAGGAGAATTCTAAAGATGTGTATTAAACAGTACTGAACTTAATGATTTGCTTGTTATTTAAGTGTGGGCAAAGCAATCTTATTTTTTTAACAGACGTATATTGATTATTGGTAAAAGAAAAGAAATAGCATTGCTTATTTGTAAAAATACTAATATTTTCTTGAATAAATATTGATATGTAAAAGCTAGCCCAGTCTGCTAAATAAAAGGGTTAAAATCAGTGTGACTTCTAAATCAATTAATTGGGGATTAGAAATAGTAATGCCATTGATTTATAAAGCAATCTCCTACTTTTGGTGACTGTTCTGACTCTATTGCATTAACTAAATTAAATCTGAATATTTAATAAGGCAGACACAGTTTTTTTTCCCAGTTTTCTGACACTGTCTTTGTTTCACAAAAACATGAATTTCTAATGAAGGATGAAACCACCTATAAATATGATTTTATTTCATTTCTTTTAAAATGCACAAACTACATTATCCATGAAAATGAAATTAGTTATATGAAATATCCTCATTAAGAAAGACGGGGACAATTAAAACCCTCATTTTTGGACAATCTGGACTGCAAATAAAATGCAGCCTAGCCTAGAAAAAAATAGTTGTGACTAAATTACTGTATATTGAAATAAACCAAGCTTAAGTTAATTGTTAGCTTTTTCTTTCAAAAGATTTAACAATACAATTTCTACCTCAGTAAGTTTTACTTCCAAATAAATGTACATAGGATCAGGACATGTTTTAGGACCAGCTTTTGTTAGATTGTACCCTTAAACTACAAGCATTTACTCTAACATTTTCCATACAATTTCAGTAGGGTTGTTTAAGATGTATAGTAGTTCCTCCATCCTCTATTGTGGAAATTTTTAATGATGTGCAGGATAAAATGTATTAGATAGATTACCCCTTGGCTTTAAACTAAGGATTCTAAAATTAAATTGTAATTTCTTGGGCAAATTACTATTTTTCAGCCCTGTTGTAAGGATAAATCACCTAACTACATACCACTTCATAGACAAGAAAATATTCTACATTTGCTTTCTTTTTAAAATCTGTCCTCCCAAATTTAAACTTCCTGTAAGCAAAACTTTTCAACTAGTGGTACTTCAGTTAGCCATCCTTTGGCATGCTAGGTGCTTTATGTTTGATTGCCAAGCAGAAATTCAATTCTTAGGTTTTGTTTTTTTTTAACATGGAGATGTTGTGATAGTGAAGGGGAAAGCTTAGCCTATTCAGTAGCCTGTCACAAGTCTATTAATAGTGACTTATGAATATGAACTTTAAATTGTAGGCAGATGACATTAAAATGTTGGATCTATCCAAAAATTAAATATATAAAAATTACCCAAGTCTAATTTCAATGTGAATTTTTAGATCCAAAGGTGGCAAGATTCAGTGAAATTTGATCTGAAGACAAGAATCTATTTGGATCAATATATTTTATTTGGAACTTAGTCTGAGATGGAAAAAGATTCAAAGTATCTGCAACTGCCTTTTTTTTTTTTCCTGTACAGGATGGGATAAAACTGGTAGGGATAGTAGACTCTTTAGGGGACATTACCCCTGCAAAGATTCAGCCAGAAACCTTGAAGAATATCATTAACATAATGTTTAAAACAATGCCTCCTTTAAGACAGAGATAGCAAGAATGAGGAAAAAGGATCAGCTCCAAATTATTCAATAAAGTCCCTATAAAGAAATTGTGTTGCATCACTGCAGAAAGTATCCTATTCCACTTTAAAAATTAAAAAAAAATTAAAGTAAGCTTTCTCATTTCTCACTTGAATCTCCAAATGTGGCATCTTATTGAAGAATGCCCAAGGACTTGCTCATGTGGGAGGTATAGCTTTGCTGCCTCAAATAATGGCTTAGTGGTATGCCTCACTGTTGTTGGCCTTGGTGGGATGCCAAGCTAGGTAAAATACACTGGCAAAGCTTGGCTTCTGGGTAAGGCTTACAACTGAGTCAGGATTGTGGCTTGCTCGCAATGTTCTACATTTATTAGCAAAAAACAGGATGGCATCGTACAGTACAGTGCCACAGAGCAAGTGACATTCATAGACTCCCTCCTCACAGTTTTAAAAGCAGTAACTGTTTGAGCTACAGCCTGTAAAAATTAGGCTGGCTTCCACTGTCAGAACATTTAAACCTGCCCCATCTAAGGTAGAGTAGTGATGAAGATATTGGACCAAGACCAGGGAAACCTTGATTCAAGTCCATCTTAGCCTTGGAAATTCACTGAGTGGTTTTGGACCAGTCACTCTGGCACAGGCCAACCTACCTTACAGAGTTGCTGTTACGGATAGAAAATGAAAGGAAAGGTTTACATAAGTCACCTTGTGCTCCAGAAGAAAGCCAAGTTATAAGTTTAATGAATTGACCAGATACTGGGCTGGCTAGCCTTGTGCTCGTTTTCAGAGTACTTGAGGGCTGAGTTGAACTTCTAGTTGTGTTTGCAGGACAAGTACAGAAGTGTAACATTCCATCAGCACAAAGGAAAGCAAGGGTAATGCTTGTGCCCATTTTAAGGGAACTGAGAACAGAGAAAGTAAATGAAGCCCCAAGCAATGTTAGTTTTGCTACCTTAACAAAATCCTGATAGGCAGAGAATTTCACTCAGTGGCCAGCTATTCAGGGCAACACAGAGAGCCAATTATACCATTCCATATGAAACTGAACTTGCAACTTCATTTTCTACATGTTCTTTGCAACAAACCCAGAAATGCAGGAAAGTTACATACAAAGCATTTTGCAAGTATCACAAATATGCTTTAATGAGATTATTTAAGCTCCACTCAAAGCAGACAAAACAGGCTTTTTTAACTTTAGGGAGGGAGGGAAAGGGAGTAATAAAAGAGAGAACTCAAAGAGCTGAAGAACTGTAGGTAGACTGGAATTGTATAATGTCAGACAAATAGACTTAATGTTAAAGATGATAAGGTTAAAATGTTATGAATGTAGGGAGAGTTAGAGAAGCACAACAGAAGCAGTAAACCAGATTAAAAAAAGCAGCAGAATAAATCTGATTTTTCCTTTCATCCTTTGGTCTCTCCCTGCTCCCTCAAGCAAACCTGCCTAACAAATTCTATCAGAAGAGTGAGACACAAAGAGCACAAAGTATTCTGATAGGCAGGATTTGAGGAGGTGGTAAAACTCATCCACCAGCAACTTAGTTCAGTATCAGGCAGCCTAGCACACCATTCAATATCCCCCTGCCAACTTTGTCCATACATGGAAGGAAACTTGCAACAATGTTTGAGGCTCTACAAATTTGGAAAGTCTACAGAATTTCCAAATCATCCGCAATTCCTGGTTTGATTCAGCACTTCAAATCACCTCTATGATTTGATTTCAGCATTTGTTGAAAGGAGTGATTGGACTAAATCTTCTCCAAACCATTCTTTTGAAAATTCACAAAGCCCTGTTAAAAGTTGCAGAGTAGAAGCTAGCTTTTGAGTTTCACAGAGCTCTTTTTCAAACATGTTATTAAAAAATAAGACAGCGGCACAGAACAAAAAATGCTAGAATAAATGGGAGCTACTCTGTAGCAGTTATAATTACTTAGTTCATAATTTAAAATTAAGACACCTTTATTTTAAAAAAATCATTTTCTTTCTGTATTATGAGGGAGTGTGACTTTCAGTAAGTCTTCGAACAAATTAATGTCTGCTTACTTTTATATTTGCAAAAAGAAAAGTATCCATTACCTTATTGTCACAATCTATTCTGCTGCCACATGAAATACTCTGCAGTGGGTTCAGTTTATTCTTCTTAATCTAGAAAAAGAAACCAACTGTCATATGTTACCCTCACATTAGCTGACACAGTTTCTATCAGTTTCTATCATCAACACGGGTGTTCTAGCTGCTTCAGATTCAGTCTCCAGAAAGGGTTGGGAAGATCTCCCTCTTAGATATTCTGGAGAGGTCCCTGTCACGGCAAAGGAGATAATTTGGAACAAAACAGACCACGAGCCTGACATTATCAGGCATATATCAGACATTTTACTGTTCTGCTCCCTCCCCCCTTATTTCTTTTGAATGCTGTGCAGGACAACGGCGTCTGTAAAACATGAAAGGTCACTCACTACGGCTTCCCTGTTAGCTGGCCTCAGTAAAGACCTGGGCTTACTCTTTCGTAAATGAATACTGGAAAAGAAAGCAAGCGTGGCGCATGGCGCTCCGCGGAGCCACCACTTTGGAGTCTCCCTCCCGCGGAAGCGGAGGCCAATTTGCCAGGCCCGCGGAGTAGCAAGGGAGAGCGCGAGGCTCCCGGGCGCATTCGCTCGCTCGCATCTCTCCCTTTTCTCCCCTCCTCGCCCAGCGCCCCTCCCTTCTCCGGCGGGAAGCAGAGCCGCCCGCCCGCCGGCCGCCGATTGGAAGTTCCTCGCCCAAGCTGCCGCGCGTCCTATTGGAGTCGGCTTTCCACACTTCATGCGGGCTTCAAAAATGGCCCTGGGCAGCCGGGGAGGGAAGAGAGGAAGGGAAGCGCTGGCTTGCCGAGGCCAGCAGCGCGGCGGAGACAGCTGTCCCTCCTAGCGGAGCGTCACTCAACCGGCCTTTCGGAGCAGAGGGGTCACCGACGCCGCTACTTCGGTCTGACTTCGGTGCCACTGGATGAAGCCGTTTTTCTAACGGGGTCGCCTCCGTCCAGGGGCAAAGCGCTCCTCTTCAGGGCTAGGTCTGCTCTTCGGCGCGCCTGCCTTTCCTGCCGGAGATGCTGCGAGGAGTCAGGATGGCCGAGGCAGCCCTCAGCACAGCCCGAGGGCGCGCTCGGTCCTGAAGCAGGGCCAGCCGGACCTTTGAGCTGCTTTTCCGAGGCGCTCGCCCCACCTGCCCGAGCCTTTCTTCTCCTTTCCCCATGTGGGACTGCCTCCGGGAGTCCTTCGGCGGGCTTGAGCGCCAGCGCGCGAGGAAAGGAGCACACCTGCCCATGGAGTTCCCGAACGGGACCGCCGTCCCCTAGCCGGAGCAGAGCGTGAACCCCGAACGAGCCGGGCTCTCCCCTCTCTCCTTCTTATTAGACCGCGCTTCCCTCCCCCTGTCCCCCTCCTTCGGCAACATGGTCCCTGCCCTGAGGTCGATCGGATCTATCGCTCCCGTATCAGGGCTGCTGCCCTTCCTCGCCACCCTTCCGACGAGACTGCCAGGAGGAGGGAATCGTTGGGGCAATCGGAAGGTACAATAATCGGTCGTCCTCAGCAAGAGTTTGCCCCCTCCCCCTCCCCCCTTTTTTCTTTTAAAGAAGAAGATCGGGAGCCGTTTCTCAGAGACAGGTATTTCTGCTGCTCTTCCGCATCCTCTTCCCCCTCCCCACGTTTCCTCCTCCTCCTCCTCCCCAAAGGACACTAGACGAGAACTTTTACAGGGTTACTATGCAATTGCGACTGGTTTCTTGGTTCTTTATCACTTGGAACTTAATGGAATACGTTGGTGGCCAGGAGCACCCTTCCAGAGTCCGGCGACAGGGAAGAAGTAAGTGCGCCTTTCTCCACCGCCTCTCTTGAAGCGGGGCTGGACGCCTCGCTACCCCAGCGGACACTGTAGTCGGGCAGAGGGACTTAGTCCCTCTGAAGTCCAAGCATCCGCATTTTTATTTAGGCTTCCATAGTGAAGCATCACTATTATGTTCAGCGGGGCTTGCTGGGCCAGGTAGAGATGCATAGGATTGCAGCATCTCTTTGCAGTGCAAAGCGATCCTAAATTCAGATCCTGCACTCTGAAGCAAGTGTAGTGGTGGGATTTGATGCTGAGGAAGTGTATGTACAGCGACAGGCTTTCAGGAAACTTGCTTCCAAGTAAGTATGGTTATGACAGCGCTGCGTGAGTCTTATTAAATTAGTGGAACAAAGCTTACAAACTGGAACTGCAATAATTTGAAAAATGGAATCGCAGTATGCTCTGTGAAGGAAAAGCTTTTCTCTGTCTTTCTTTGTTCGTCAAAGGCTTAGAAACCAATCCAGACGAAATTCGATTAATGAAAGCTTAACTTCTTCCTTATGTATTAGTCTACTGCTTTCTTCTAGTTCATGTGTCATTCGGGATCCAGGAAGCATATCTGTGCCCCACACCAAATTATGGGATGTGTGGCCGATTAGCTTCTCCTGCTCCCAGCGCAGTCGAGCACTGGAGAGGCCCAGCTGGATTCCAGCAAGTGCCTTTTGCAGGGCTATTGAAATGAGGTCTGTCTTCCGTTGAAGCTCATAGTGGTAAACTGATATCCAATTTGCGGAATGGCTATACGGTGCAGCCAGTAAGAAGGAAAGAGAGAGATGGGTGATATATTGGAGGGAGTGGGTATAGTTTAGGCGTTTCTGCAGTATTGGAATGTTGAAATAAATGCCCTAAGAGAAGATTCCTGTCAAAATTCTGCCTTGAGGATGGAGGAAGGCAAAGATTATCCAACCTATCCCATCTCTCTAAGGAGGGAGGATAACTGATCAATCTAAAGGTCACAAAAAGATCCCAAACGACTACTGTACATCAAACAAGCCCAAAAGCAACAGCACCCAAGCATAGTTAAATGTTGCTGAGCGATGTAATCTCAACATTTTCACTGAGAAATAAGTAAAGTTCAACTTTCTCACAAGGAAGTGTTTATTGGATTGTGCCTAACTGTCACTGATTTCAGTAGAATATATTCATTTATATACCATAAGTCTTGCTGGCTTAATTTTGGCTGGATCATGCCCTGCTCCTACTTAGAAATATGCAGAGACCTAGGAACATTGTGGAGACAATGATAGGTACCATCTTTCCAAGGAAAGCTACATCTAACTTTGGTGTTTCAATCTGGGATTTCAGTTGCTGGTCTGGCCCCATAGCTTCACTTTCAAGGCAGTTCATATGGTTGGAAGTGGATGGCAGTCTCAAAGCTAAATAAAACGTATTTTAAAATGTGCCTTAATTAGTTCATAGTGTTAAGTCAAGTAGAAGAAGGGAACAAAAGAGGTAAGTCCAGAAGACTGGGAGTCAGTTTGGTCTTGCTTTTCATTTCTTGCAATGTTTTGAGAGATAGTGTTATTGTTTTCATTATCCTCCCCCATTTTGGTGTATTCCAACAGGATTTGGATTAAAAGTCATGCACTGGGGAGCACCAGGTTGGAGGAGGCAAAGTTACGTTTTCCTATCTCCCTTGTGAACAGCAGCACACTTTACAGAAAATAAAACAGAAAACAAAAATTTCCATCTGGCCTAGTCCTCCCTCAAGATTTATATTTCTAAAAGGCCTTTCTGAAAGTGTCTGCAAGCCCACTGAGACTGCTTCGTCTTCATGAGTATTTCTCCCTCTGCCTTCTGACACTGTTTGTACTTGTGAAAAGGGCTGCTTATTTTGCTCTTGCTTAACAGTTCTATTCTGATAGGGAGAGAGAAATGTCAGAACACACAGCGGTCTGTATTCAGTTTTTTAAAAGTACACTGGGTTATTTCCTAGGTTTTGCCCAGCCTTCCCTTTCCGCGCCATGGCATGCGTATCTCCTGAAAGGCTTCCTTTGTAGCATTGGCCTCCGAAAAACAAGGTCTGTCTGATTCACTGAAGGTTCCCTGAAAACATCACTTTTTGCAAGAGACCTCCAGTCATTCTACAGTCCAGTGAACTAAGAGAAGGAAAGGCAATCAGCCTTTGACAAACCACCCAGGTGAATACCTTGGGCAATGGAGTGCTGTGTTTTCTTCAGAGCACCTCTGCTGTTCTCCAGTCTAGCTAGCAAGACTGGTCCCTAAATAGATTTGGTTTCAGACTTTTCACAATGAGTTGCTGAAAGGTCATCAAATAGTTGTGGGGACTCTTTCCCTCACTGCCCCTCTATCAAGCAGAAATCAAACAAAACAATAAAACCATATCCTATAGTGCTAAATGTATCCAATGAAGATATTTAAGCATTTGCATGAGTTATCTCATTGGATGCTAGTAAATGCAGTCATCTGTCCAAGAGGAAGATTGAAATAAACCAATTTCTTCTGATTTCTCAGTTCTTGTTCCTGCAATTACAGTAGGGTGGGGAAGTTATTTTATACCTACTTGTTGGATAATCTGAAGGATACTTGAAATGTCCATCAGAAATCAAACACCAGAGCCTACATTTTCATTTCTTTTGCAAGGCAACATTTTTACCTACTGCTCTCTTATGTACATTGACTTGCATTGATGCCTTACTAGCATCCTCTGAAATTTCTGTGCCAATTGATCACAATGATATTTGGGTGACACTATCTAACATTGATGAGGAAATTACCTTGGGACCATATCTCCATCAGTTAAATTGGCATAGGATTACAGTTTTAGATTGTACTTGTTTGCAATCAAAGATCAAAGTTTAATGGGAGAATTGGATTTTCATACAGAAGTAGCCTAGATACTGCAAGAATACTTATATATATTTTATTTATATCTGCTTTTCTGAGATCAGAAAAAAATATGAACCAAGGAACAGGTTCTTCAGGATCCATGAGGGAAAAAAATACAAACCCCAATCAGTTTCATTTTTGCATTTGCCCAAATGAACTGATAATTATTTAAGAGAGAGGAAGGATTTCTCTGGGCATGACCTACTCAATTCAATTTTCTCCAAGGTCTTCCATCTCCCTGAATTTCCAGAGCTCCAAAACTGTGAGAGGTGCGACCTCTGGTGTCTGCTGCAGAAATCCATGCAGTGCTCATATATGCCCTTATGTCACTCTCCCCTTTGCAGGTGTGGACTTGCTTTTTGCAAGGTTGCCCAAAGGATAAAAGGATGAGGTGCTAACTAAAACTCTTTGTGCAAGTATTTAAAAGGCCCATACTTTGCTTCTACCAAAGCTTTGCCATTGATTTCAAAAGCAACAATCACAGCCCCTAAACTTGTATTTGAAGACAATGAACATTTGGGTGGAGGAAAGGGTGGGGGGAGAATGATCAGATCAGATGATGATGACAAGATCAGACAAATGCTTAATCAGCATGGTAGAGAATACTTTCTTATCTTTAGAAACTAATCAGGCAATGTAAATTGGACAAAGATTTACTTCAAAGGCAGCTACTCCTCTTACTTGGCTTCAGAGCAAGGGAACAAAAACATACAAGGAGAATCAGGGATGCAATTTTGAAAGGTAACTGGGAAGAGATTGCACCTAAATGAATGGTGACAGGCATTCAAGATTAGTGTTCATCACTCATCAGGCTGCCGGTATTTTCCAAATTGCTGCTGCAGCACTGTTGGTGAAACAGATCAGCCTCAGCATATGAAAATCCTGAAGTTGTGTGTCTTCTACTCTTCCATTTATCTTCTACTCTGTCCACATAGTATCTGCATCCACAAGAATATTTGGAAAGAATCTGCTGGTGAAGAAGATGAAACCTGGGTATGTTTCAAAGTGGGATTCCAATTTAGGATGGGATTTCTGTCTATCCAACCTTAATCCAGCAGCTTTCTTGGGTATAGGTTAGTGCAGGAAAAGCAATGTCTGCAAGAAGTGAAGGGAAAATTGGGGGTGGGGCTGCAGCTGTCCATTCACTGAACTTTTCCTAGTTTTTGCAGAGCTTCCCAATGGAACACAATCAATTGGATTTGACATTTCTTCCTTTTAAATTAGGCCATTTAAAAAATATATATTTTAAGTTTCAGACTATGACAGTTTGGCTTATGGGTGAAAAGACCAGTAAAATAACAGGAGAAAAACAAGCTGTGGTCAATAAACTACTGGTATGTGGTCACATTTTCTTCTAGTGGGCAGCATTCATGAGAACTTTAAATTTCCTGTGCAAACCAAAAATGATATTTGGTACTGTTCTTTCCAGAAAACAATGTTCATGTAATCAAGTAGTTTATTCATAATGAATAAATTAATTGAATACATTTAAAATGAAAAAGGGTTTCTTCCTTCTCTTAAAGAACATTTTGTTGTTGTTGTTGTCAACCTAATACTCAGTCCTACTTTGTCCTGCATGAAAGAGAAGTGAAATAACCCTGGTACAGGCATGTGTATGTTTAACTTATAAAGACAATATTTTCCTCTCAGAAAGAAGACACATATTTTATGATTTTAACTTTCTGGAAAGATTGCTATATTAGGTTCATCCGAGGATAAGTTGAGGACTAATTTTGAGGAAAGTCAGTAGCATAAGTAGCTCCCTGAGTGACTGCCAATTCACTCAATATTTTATATCTATCCTTGGATCTATTTATTTTCTATTTATTTAAGATTATTGTATATTGTCATTTTAATTGATTTTAATTGTTTTGTAAACCTCCCAGAGTCGTTTCAATGAGATGGGCAGTGACAAATTTGATATATAAATAAATAAATAAAAAATAAAAAAATAAGAAATAATTGCACTGTCAGCAGGGATACCCTTTTGCAGCAGATAAAGACAATATTTCAGCTGCAGTTTATTCAGGTAATATATAATACACAATAGAAAGATTTAAAGACATTAGTGGTGGAGTATTCTGTGTTTTATTCAGGTAAGATATCTTAACATTAACATATTCTGAGAATTTAAAAAGATAATAGTTTAACAGTGAAAGAGCCAAAATACATCTATTCAGAAATATATTCTATTCAACTCAGTGGGTCTTATTTTCTGTAGTTATACATGGAGAAATAATAGTATGTATTAAATAATTTGAAGAGATGCTCTGTGGTAAAAATTTAGTCAATAAACAGCTTCTTCTGTTTTCTTACTAAGATATGGAATTACATTAAAAATGAAGCAGCTCAAAAGACATGCGACAGTCATCTCCCCCAAATTTGCAATCAATCAATCAATCAATCAATCACTCAATCAATCAATTGTAGTCTTGGAGTAGAATAATTAATGAACTTGCTTTTTGTTTGTTTGTTTGCTGCTTATGTGTGTCTGTGTCTGTGTGCATGTATGTGTTAACTTACTTGTGATCTAGTTGGTCAACCTTACCCATTTATGCTGGTCTTGAGACAGATTTCCAAATGTATTGCAATAGAAGCATTAAGTAGGATCATTATAGTTGAGGCAGGGTCAGGCTTCATTTTAGGCTATTTGATGTTCTGTCTCTCCTTTTATAGGACATTACTCATGACATCTCATAGTGAGATGGATGGCTAATTTGGAAAAAAGGGGAAAAAGCAACCCTCCCCCCAACCTCTTATATACTACATTTCCATTTGCTTCAACCCATCATTTTTGCTTTCATCCATTCTTCTCTATATCATTTTGTTTTGTTTACTTATTATTTACATTGTGCACATCTATTTGTATGCTTCTTCATGTAAACTTTTTTAAAGATTGGTTTGCTATTTTGGAAAGTTGTGAAATTGAAAACAGACTTCCAATAAATATATGAATAGTTCCTCATCCTTTTCTTCTCCCTTCTCTACAAATATAAGAACAGCCTGTGTGGGACAAACTCACTTAGACAGTTGCTGGACAATTGGCCAGGACATTACTTGGTTTCAGCTGTACTCAGCCTAGAGAGAAAAGAAAGAGGTTTCTCTCCTTGCTGGTAGCTATCTTGACAGCATAAATAAAGGGGAAAAACAAGGCATTTTTACTGAAAAGTGGTCCCAAATAAAAGTTCTTAGCATGGGGTAAGCAAAGCAAATCTCTGGGGGAGATGGGAGGCATAAAAATAAAATAAAATAAAATAAAATAAAATAAAATAAAATAAAATAAAATAAAATAAAAATGTTATTCCTCCAGCCACAGGGAATCCTTCTTTAACATATCAGGGATGTTGAGGCAGTTGTGGACTATCAAGGTTCCTTACACATTTAGTGATCCTCTAGTCTGTATAATTGTACATG